AGTTAGAAGATCTTTGACTCTATGGATTATTTGAAGGATCCTCTTCTTGTTCCTAGAAGATTTGAGGAGTTGATGATTTCCATTGGATTAAGAGATGGATTGAGATGATCCTTTTTCTCTCATTGTCTCTCTCTTGATGGTTTGGTGTTTTTTTTAATGGAGGGTGACAGGTAAAACATATAGAGGAGTTATGAATCCTTCTATGAGGCTAGAGAATGCATTTAATCAACCCTTTTTCTAAGGGAAGAGGTAGTATTTATAGGAGGGAAAATGAGATGGAGGGCTTGGATCTTGCCACTTATGTCAAGGTCAACAGCCTTTTCACTTATGGACTAACCAATACGATCTAAGGGAAGGTTCTAGAGAGTTTGAAAGAACATGGCAGGTTGTTGAGGGGGTTATGGTTGAGCCAATAATTAGAGAGATTATTTTAGGGAATCTTACCACATCAACAGCTGAGGTGGCATAAGCTTGACAAGATCTATAGAGGGAAGGTTCTAGAGCCTATTCAAACCTTTGGTTGGGTCTAATTTAGGGTGGATCAATAATGAGCCAAAGAAAGTGGATTTTTGGTGGCTTGGTTCAACCCAAATGGTTAACCCAGGTTAAACCATGGGTTGGGCTTCATGGGTCATATTCAATGGGTCAATACACATTTGCTACAATTATTTAGGGAATTTCATTTTTCAAGGGTGGGTTTTGGCACATAAAAATCCCTTTTGCTGCACTTTCTTTAACCTAAATTGTTAAACCAGGTGGTCCCATGAGCTCAAATATTTTTGGATGACTCATTGGGATCCAATGAGTTGTCCCTTAGAGTTTGGTTTAATTGTGTGGTCAAAATTTAGAGTTTTAAAATTTAAAGTGTGTATGGTATGCTTTAGTCAACCATGTTTGATTAGGGGTCAATGGTGGGTCAAACAAGTTCAAATGATATTTTGGACATGTTGGAAGTGGTCACATGTAATGGGAATTCCATTTAGTCCAAAATGCATATTTAAAGGCTAAAAGGGCCCTTTGGTCAACCTTGTTTCAATGCATTGTAAATGATATTAATAATTTGTTCGAGTTGGTCTCAAGATTTGGTGGGGTCTCCATACATGTAAATTGGTTTAAAGGGATAAAAGGAAAATTTGGTCAACATAGGTTGACTTGGCCAATTGGTTGACCAATGTTTGAGATTTAGTTCAATGCATTCCAAATCATATTTTGGTTATGGTGGAGGAAGTTGCATGGCTTGATTTGATTGAGTCATATTGAGGTTTAAATAAGTTTTAGTTTTTCTAGTTTAGGATTTTAGAATGTTATGGCAAACCAAGTTTCAACGTTGATTTAATGCATCATGGTAATGATAATGATCATGATCAATGAGTTTGGAGAGGCTTCGAATGCTGGCTTAATGCATCATACTTTTCTTTCTAGTTTTGATTATTTACGAGATCTTTCACCATTGAGTATTTAATGGAGTCAACCATAAATTTTTCCTATTAAAATTTAGGATTGAGCATTGATTTCCATTAAGAATAATGAATCAAGTACTTTCTTATTGAAATTTAAAACAGACTTCTAAAAAAAAAATTCATATTAAAGTGTTTATGTTTAATTTATTTTTTATTTTTTAATAATTTAGATCAAGACACAATCTAAAAACTTCAAACCGGGAGGTTATTGAAGCAGAATTTTTTTTATAATAATGTATTCATGGAGAAAAATCCCATATTTTATAATCATGAAATTATTCCTCTATAATCCACTTTAAAATACAAACAGACTTTTACATGCAGACATATCATTCTTATACAAATGCATAATAGTTCAAATATCTAAAAATTCAACAGATCACCTATCTTCTAATCGATTCATAATGGGTTACATAGTACTCTAATCTTGGAGGTCTCACAACTCTCCCATCCTCAAAAAATATCATCCTTGACAATTTTAAACTCAAGGCATCAAAATAAATCAGGATATAACTACCTCATTTCAAATTCTTTTGTCCAAGTGGTTTTTTTTAAGTTTTTCTCTTCCACTAAACTTTAACTATTCAAATCTATTTTTTCCTTAACCTTTTTACATCATATGCTAAAATCCTTTATGTTTTCTCACTGTACCATAGATTTGAATGCACCTCAATTTCTTTAGCAGGTATATGATTTCCAAAGTTGAATACATTTTATAAGATGTGACATGTGGAATATAATGTAAATATCAGACATAAGATCTAGTAAATATAACCTAAAGGTAGACTTTTTAGTCCTTTATATAATTTCAAAGGGCATAACATATCTAAGACTCGACTTTTCTTTCTTAACAAATCTATTGATGCACTTCACTAGCCTGATCTTTGGTAGATGATAAACTACAACTCAAAAAGCATCATGTCCTAATCTTGAGCTCAAAAATTCCATAACGAAATTTATATACACTTATTCCCATTTCTACTATGGAATAGGTAATGGCTGAGGAAAATCGATTACATATGTTATGTTTTCACTAATTATCAGACTTCTTATTTTGATACAAAATCTGCTACACCTTTCTTTAATCCAAACTACCATAACATAATTTTTAAATCATTATACATTTTATGACTTCTTAGATTAATATTATAACTTGAATGATATTCTTTGTGTGGAATAACTAATCTCAAATCTCTAGAATAAGGAAACCATAACCTGTTCTTATAGAAGATAATAACAGAAGTGGATACTTATAATTTATTTTTTTAATGAATTTAATATAGTCAATCGACTTCAAATATTTTGTATCTAGCTTCTAGGATTCTTGAATATTTTCTTGTAGAGATGATTATATAATATTGTTGGCAAAATGCTTTTTTCTAGTATCCTATCATTGTTGAGTAGCTATCAAATCCATCTCAATCAAAGAAGCTCACTCCACATACTCAGAGAAATCAGAAATTTAAAATGGAAGTAATAGTTATCTTATGATGTCCTATAATCCCCTTAGATATCTTTAGCATTTTTCCTTATGAGTGTTAATCAACTACAAAGTATACTTGAAGCAATAAATTTTATCTCATAATGCAAAATGATCCTACCCCGTGAATCAACCTCAAGAAAGTCTTCTATTTTTGCTAACGTCAGGAGTACAAATCAGACTAGAGGAATATTTAAAAACTCCTCTAACCTAATTAGATAATTTAATCTCCCTTAAAATATTTTTTCCTACTTGTCCATCCACCAATGCTCAACCTCTCCATCTAATAAAAAAAAAAATTCCAATGGTATTTCCTCTCTGGAGGATACTACATACCATCAAATTTCTTCTCTAATCTCTTCAGCTAGTCCTCTGCTACTCTAATAGTTAAACTAATCAATCATTCTAGTTACAACCCAATTTGAAATTATAAGTTATAGATTTAATCATTAACTAATAAATATTGAAGTGAATAATTGAGTTTTAATGTTAAAATTATACTTTCACTAGTTCTTCATCCCTTGTTTTAACTCTCATATATCATCATTTTTAATTTATGATTAAGATTGTATTTTTAATCTTATGCTTTCATCGATATCAATTTTTGAATGTACTCTTCTTTTTCTTTTGATTATTTTTTTCTCTTTTTCTTTTTTGTTTTCCTTTTGTATAGTACATAATATTTGAAATTAAGTTCAGCTTTTGCTTTAGACCTTCATACAATATTAATGATTTTAATGTAAGGACTTGAAGAGAAAACTAATTTTATCTTTAGTTTAGATATGATTTCAATTTTTAATGTACTCATATCTAATTTGTAATACTAATTATTCATATTACAATTTTAAAAATTAATTTTATAAAGGTATATCATATAAATTCAAATTATGAAAATAGCTTAAATTGTTGATTGATTTAAGTATTATCTTTTCCAACCTATAAAATATAAACAAAGTTTATTTAAACTAAGATATAGTGTTTTATTATTATCCTAATTTTACATAATTTTTATAAGCGTTATTTAAATAATCAAAATATAAATGTAGGATAATAATAATTTAAGCGTAACTAGAATTTGCTAATATACAAATAAAACACATAAACAATCAATACATCCACATGCTTTCATAAAAATGATAAAATGTGCATAAAACATATATTGAACACAAAACATGACATAACATAATAGGTACTAGCATAACATATATATGGGTTACCTCCTAGAAGCAACGCTAAGTTTATAGTCATTAGATAGAATTGCTCATATTTTCTATTAAGCTAAGATGGATGATTGTTACTCTTCAATTTTGTCTCATGATTTATGCTTCCTTCTCATTAGGATTAACTTCTGTGTTACTAGGTAAGGATTCTATGAGCCTACTAATTATAGAAATTGTAAGCCGACATAATTGAGGTTTCATGTTTGTAATTGAAGCAGGTTAGTTTTGTAATTGATTTTCCAATTATACGACCTCATCTCCTAGTGACATTTTTCTAGTTTCATACTGATTGTCTTGATTAAATTGAGGAGGATAAAATAGTCTTGGATTATTATTAGCTTGATTTTGATTATTGTAATTTCCTCATTTATTATTTTGATTAGAATTCCAATGATTTTTACAATTATTATTTGATCAACTAAAATTAAAGTGATTCTTCTAACCTGGGTTATATGTATTTGAATAGAGATTATTTTATCTTCCAATCAAATTTATGATTTTAATCCATTAGATGTCATTATCTTTCATTATGCTTTTATCTTGAAAATGCAAAGATGAATCAGAATTTAAACTTAAAGTGCTCAACTTCTTTGATATTGATATAACTTGTGCAATCAAAATGGATAAAGAATCATTTTGAAAGAGAATGACTCATGCCACTCTCTTAGGATTCACCCTATCAGCACATCACAGAAATTTATTTGTTGTCATTTCTCAATTAATTCATAAGCATCCTCAAAAGGCTTTGAAATCAAACAACCTCCAACTATAGCATCCATTATGGCTCTAAGAGATCCTAGCAATCCAATGTAAAAAGTTTAATTTATTAACCAGTCCAATAAGGCATGATGAGGGCACTTTCTAAGCTTCTCCTTAAATCTCTCCCAATTCTTATAATAGATTATTCTTCTAATTGACTAAAAGAAATAATATCATTTTTATGTTTGGTTGTCCATTATAAAAAGTTTGAATTATTAACCAATCCGGTAAGGCATGATGACAGCACTTTCTAAGCATCTCCTTGAATCTCTCCAAACAATCATAAATAGATTATCCTTCTAACCAAATAAAAGAAGTACTATCATTTTTAAGTTTTACTGTCTTAGAAGGTGGAAATACATTTCTATGAACTTGTGGGCTAACTCATTCCATATCTTATTAGAGCTTGGGGGTAAAAAATTGAACCACATTTTTGCCTTATCTCTTCAATAAATTAGGAATAGTATTAATTTAATGGCATCAACATTAACACGTTGTACTTAAATATCACACAAATTTCTAAGAAATTTGCTAAATGTAGTTTAGGATATTCAATGGGAGTTCCCCTAAATTGAGAATTTTCTACCACTAAAAGATTGCAGGTTTTAATTAGAAATTATTAGCTTGGATGATAGGTCAATTTATGCTATGTTGAATTTCATCCATTGTTTGTCATTCTCTATATCACTTGCTCTCTCTCTCTCTCTCTCTCTCTCTCTCTCTCTCTCTCTCTCTCACACACACACACACACACACACACACACACACACACACACACACTCACTCAAGTCACTCTCTATTCATCCACCTCTCTCTTCCTTTCTATCTCTCCCTCCCTCTCTCTCTATCTCTCTCATTTCTCCCTCTCACTCACTCTCACCCTATCTCTCCACTTTTTTATCATCATCTACATCTCTCTATCTCTTGTTCACTCTATTACCCTCTCCCCCTTCTCTTTCTATCTCTCTTACCTCTCTACTCTATATTTCCCTCTATATTTATATTCCACTCACTCTCTCACTTTTTCTCTCATGCGCAATCCTTTTCTCTTAAAGTATATGTCCCTCTTTATCACTCTCCACCTCTATATTTCTCACTTGGTTTCTCTCTCTCTCTCTCTCTCTCTCTCTCTCTCTCTAGCCACTTTCTACTCCATCTCACTTATTTTCTTTATCCCACTCTGTTATCTCTCTAAAAATACATCTATTCCTCTATCTCCTTCTCCCTCTCATTCCCTATCTATCTTCTCTTACACATTCTCTCTCTCTCTCTCTCTCACTCTCTCTCTCTCTCTCAATTTCTCTCCGCTTATTCTCTTTCTCCCTTTACTAATCTGTTTCACTCTCACTCTCCCTTCACTCCCCCTCTCTCTTGCAGTCTCCTTTCCACACTCTCACCCTTTCTCTTTCACTATTCCGAGCTCTCTCTTTCTCATAACTTTCTTTTTCTTTCAATCTTTCTATCACTCTTTGACTATCCCTCTCTCTACTCTCTTTTATTCTACACTATCTCCTTTTCTTTATCTCTCACTCTTTCTTTCTCTCTAAAAAATATCTTTCCCTCTTGCTCTTTACCTTTCCAACTCACCCTCTTTTAAAAATCTCACTATCACTCTCCCTCTCTCTCCCTCTTTAGTTCCCTCTATCATCTCTCTCTCACTTTCCTTCCCTCTCACTATCTCTATATCTCTATCTATCTTCCTCACTTGCTATCACCCTCACTCACTTGCTCACTCACTCAATCTTTCCCTTTATTCCCGCCTCTCTCTTTCTCTCTCCCTTTAACTCTTTAAGTCTCCATCTCTCTCTCTCACTCTCCCTCTCTCTCTCTCTCTCTCTCTCTCTCTCTCTCTCTCTCTCTCTCTCTCTCTCTCTCTCTCTCATTCTAACTCTTTTTTTTGCAATATCTCTCATTTCATTCTCCCTCTCTATCAATCACTTTATCTCGCTCTTTCTCTTCTCTTCTCTATCTTCCTCACCCTCTCTCTCTCTCCCATTCTCTCTTATGCTCTCTCTAACTTGCTTTGACACTCTCACTCCTTACCACTCTCCCTCTATCAGTCCTCCTCATTTCTATCTCATTATTACTATTGATTTCTCTCTCACTCTCCCATAGTCTCACTTCTCTCTTGCACTCTCTCCATCTTCCTCCCTCTCTCTCACTACCACTCTTTTTCCCTCTATATCTCTCTTAAAATGCATCTCTCTACCTCTTTCTAACTCTTCTTATTACTTTCTCCACTTCCTCTCTCTCTATCACTCCCTGCCTCTCCCTCTACCTCCCTTTCTCCATACCTCTCTCTCACTCTCTAGCTGTCTATGTTTCTCTCTCTTTCTCTCATTCTTCCTCTCGCTCTCTCATTCTTCCTCTCGCTCTCTCTCTCTCTCTCTCTCTCCATCTCTATATGTCTCACTTGGTCTCTCTCTCTCTCTCTCTCTCTCTCTCTCTTTCTCTCTCCCTCCCTCATCCCCTCTCTCTCTCACTCTACCTCTCTCTCTCTCTCTTGGGACACTTTCTATTCCATCTCACTTATTTTCTTTATCCCATGCTATTATCTCTCTAAAAATACATCTCTTCCTCTATCTCCTTCTCGCTCTCATTCTCTCTCTCTCTCCCTCTCTATCTATCTCACTCACCCTCTCTCCCTCTATCTCTCTCTCTTACTCATTCTTGATCACTCTCCATCTTCGTATATATATCTCTTTCTCTCTTACTCTCTCCCTCTCTATTTCTCTCCACTTATTCTCTTTCTACCTCTTCTAATCTCTATCACTCTCACTCTCTCTTCACTCGCCCTCTCTCTTGCAATTCTCTTGCACATTCTCCCTAGCTCTGTCTCTCTCTCTCTCATCACATTCTTTATCTTACACACTCTTTATATCACTCTCTGATTATCCATCTCTCTACTCTTTTTTACTCTCGACTATCTCCTTATCTTTATCTCTCACTCCCTTTCTATCTATCTAAAAAACATATCTCCCTCTTATTCTCTCTTCCTTTCCATATCGCTCTCTTTTGACAATCCTATATCACTCTCGATCTCCCTCTCTCTCCCTCTTTAGTTCCCTCTACCATCTCTCACTCACTCTCTTCCCTCTCAGTATCTCTATATCTCTTGTTATCTCCATCACTCTCTCTCTCTCTCTCTCTTTCTTTCTATCTATCTCTCTCTCTCTATCTATCTATCTATCTATCTATCTATCTATCTATCTATCTATCTCTTTATCACTCACTATCTCTCATTTTATTTCTCTATCTCTTATTAGCTCGCTCTCTCTCCCTCAATTTATCTCATAAACACAAACACACACACTCTCTCTCCATCACTCTCAATATCCCTCTTACTACTCTCTCAATCTCTCAATCATTCTCTCTCTATCTCTTTCCTCTCTTTCCCTTTCTATCTCTATAAAATATGCATCTTTCCTTTCACTATCTTTGCCCTCCATCTCCCATCTCTTATTCTCTCTCTTAATAACTCTCCCTATCTTGCTCTCTCTCTCTCTCCAACACTTTTTTTGTATCTTCTTTTCTACCTCACTCTATCTCTCACCCTCTCTCTCTTCTCTCCTTTACTCATGCTCTCTCTCGCTATATCTCAACCCATTCCCTCCACCTCCTTTTGCATTCTCACTCACTTTCTCATATTCTCTCTCTAAAAATATAACTCCCTCACAGTCCCTTTATCTCACTCTATCTCACTCTATCACCTCACAGTCCCTCATTCTCCATACTACCCTTTATATGTTTTTATCTCCTCTCGCTTATTTTCACTGTAGTTGTATCTCTCACACCTTCTTTATCAAACCCTCTTTCTCTCTCTCTCTCCATCAACCTTTCTCTATATAAATACATGCCTCTTTTTCACTCTCTCCCCCTAACTTTCTATTATCACACACTCTTGCCCTTTCTCTTACTTCTACCTTTCTCTTTCTCTCTCCCTTTAACTCTTTATATCTTACTCTTTGTCCCCCTCCTCTCTCTCTCTCTCTCTCTCTCTCTCTCTCTCTCTCTCATTTTCACTTTCTTTATTGCAGTGTCTCTTATTTCTTTCTCTCTCTATCATTTACTATATCTTGCTCTTTCTCTTCCCATCTCTATCTTCCTCAGTCTCTCTCTCTCCCATTCTCTCTTATTCTATCTATACTTTACTTTCACACTCCCACTCCTTTCCACACTCTATCTATCACTCTTCCTCATTTCTATTTCACTATCAATCTTTATTGCTCTTTCACTGTCCCTTACTCTCACTTCTTTGTTTCTCTCTCTCCATCTTCTTTCACTTTATCACTACCACTCTTTTTCCCTCTATTTTTCTCTTAAAATGCATTCTCTACCTCTTCCTCTCTCTCCTTATACCTTTCTCCACTTCCTCTCTCTCTATCACTCCCTACATCCCTCTCTCACTCCCTTTCTCTATACCTCTCTCTCTCTTGCTCTCTATGTCTCCCTGTCTCTATATCACTTCCTCTCTCTCTCTCTCTCTCTCTCTCTCTCTCTCTCTCTCTCTCTCTCTCTCTCTCTCCCCCTCTCTCTCTCACTTGCTCTCTCTTCATCCCACTATTTCATTATCTCTTCCTCCCTTTTTCTCTCTCTCATTTCTCCCTTCCCTTACTACTACTCTTGCTCTATTTCTCCACTTTCAATCCTCATTTACATCTCTCTCTCTCTCTATTGCTCACTATATTACTTTCTCTCACTTCACTCTCTTTCTCACCTTTCTACTATCTCTTTTAGACCACCTTCTACACCATCTCACTTACTCTATTTATATCACTCTCTTACCTCTATAAAAAAGCATCTCTTCCTCTATCTTCTTATCCCTCTCAACTTATCTCTCTCTCTTACACACACACACACACACTCATTCCATATCAAGCTCCATATCCCTCTCTCTCTCTCTCTCTAACTCTCTCTTCACTCACCTTCTCTCTCTCAATCTCCCTCCCACACTCTCACCCTTTCTCTTACACTTTATTTCTAGCTCTTTATCTCATCACTTTCTTTATCTTAAGCATACTTGTTCTATTCCTCTCTAACTATTCCTCTCTCCCTACTCTCCTCTATCTCCATATCTTTATCTCACTCCCTTTTTGTCTCACTAAAAAGCATATCTCCCTCTTGATCTATCTTGCTCTCTCTCAACAATCTCTTAATCACTTTCTCCCACTTTATCTCTCCCTCTTT